AAAAGTAGGAGAAAACCTTGATAGGAAAAAGGCATGAAGTTTAGTATAAATTCTTCAAGTGGAACTTTAAAAGACAGAAAAAGTATAAGATAAAATAATCTCTACTTCATTACTAAATACACGGTAATGATGTTACATAGTCAGGAAACAGTAAACAAGCAAAGAAGAAAATTTCGCTTACATAAGAGGCACTATTAGCGACAGTGAAAGAGAAAAAATGAATCACAATACGGTGAGAGAGAGAATAATGCACGTTGTCCACACTAGGAATGCATCGTTTTTTTCCGTACTTCATTTCACAGAAAACACTTCGGACTATTTGTCTGTCTAAAATAAATTTCTACTTTGCTTTCAGCAAAACCTACACGGTTTTCGGAAGATCTCACGGGAAACCAGTGATTTCCAAAACTAGATCTTCAGACAAAGCAGGTCGTAACGCTATAAAAGCCGTAAAAGTTATACGAGCATAAAAGTATAAAAGCACAAAAGTTTAAAAGTGAGAAAAGTATAAAAGCTATAAAAGTATAAAAGTCATAAAAGCACAAAAGTTTAAAAGTCAGAAAAGTATAAAAGTCATAAAAGAACATAAACAAAAATTTTAAAAGCCAGAAAAGTATAAAAGTATAAGAGTCATAAAACCATCCAAACTATAAAAGCCAGAAAAGCATAAAAGGCATCCACTAATAAAAGCTTAACAGCTTAAAAGTTATAAAAGGACGAAAGGGAAACAAGCAGAGAAGCTATAAAAGGATAAAAGCTGCAAATGCATCAAAGACTGCAGAGCAGAAACGCTGGCAAAGCGCGTTATCTAAGGTATTTTGTACAACATATTTTTCGGATATTCTGAAATCGGATATCCGCTCAGCCCTCAACTTCGAATGGTCGTCCTTCAAGATAGGGTCTGAAATGCTGCGTACCCCAGACAATGACTAAACACTCCCGTTCAGACGCTGAATACTTTCTTTCAGAGGGCTGCAGAGTACGACTGGCATAGGCTATTACATGTTCTTTGCGCTCAATACTTTGGGAGAGAACAGCATCAAGACCATAGTCACAGGCATCCAACTGTAACATAAACGGATAGTCAAAATTAAGATAAGTGGCTATAGGTGCAGTAATCAGCCGTTCTTTTAATAATTCAAATGCCTGTTGACGTTGGGGCGTAAACACAAAGCTTGGGTTGTGTTTTTCTCGAATCAAGGCAAACAAAGGCTCAGCAACTTCTGCATAATTTTAATAAAACGTCTGTAATAGCTAGTTAGTCCTAGAAAAGCACTGACATCCTTTGTTTTACTAGGAATAGGAAATGATCTTACTTAGCCTCTAACTTTTCCGGGGTCCAGTCTAATTCCTTGCGCGCTTACCATGTGGTCTACACATTTAAGTTCTTGATGGCAAAAGACACATTTTGATTGTTTTAAAGTCAGGCCACTGGTTTTAATGCGTTTTAAGATGTTGTTCAAAGGTTAGTGAATATATTATTACATCATCCAGGTAGACCATGCAACAGCTCCATTTCAAACCTCGAAACCATTTTGTTTCAGAAATTCTTCTTGAATTTGATCGTGTTGTAATAACGCTGGAAAAGATATAGAAGAGAGAAAAATACTGTAGTCATTATCCAAAATAACGACATGCTCATGAGAAACTCGATCTCTTTTATTATATCTAGAGACCAAAGTGTTTCACGATTTAAATTTTGAATAAACCGTTTTAATGCTGTGATCTATGACATCAATATTTTGCTTATAATTCTCCTTCTACTGAATGGATTCGAATTTTGTTCTTTGTCTCTCTAAACCGTAACATATACACCTATACAAAAGTGGAGATCATGAGTTTTTTCCCAATGCTATTGTTTTTTTTCTACGAGAATCGTATTTAGGAGCAATCTGGAGAATTTTCTGTATTTCGGTTTAGAAAAATTTTTTTTTAATTTCCACCGACGTTGACAAGTCGAGATTCTTCTTGTCTGGGAATATTTCAAAGATACATGAAACATATGCAATCCGGTATTCCGGTTACGACTTTGGCTTCAAAAATTCACGCATATGTCTTGCAGGATGAGAAATACTTTCAAAGTGGAAAGGCATTATTACTAGAGTGAGGTCGCCTTCTCGCTATAGAAACTCTTCAAAATGAGTCGTTTCTATCCAGAAAGACTAGCTCCTTCTGAATCATGTCTTAGAAATGTATCTTCTTCGAATTGTCAAACACGATATAAGCTTAGTAGGGAATAATCATAAAATTAAAATGATAATAAAATACCTTTTTAAATTATATCGGATGATCCAAATTAAATCGTGGTCTCAGTATTTCGTCAATATCTCTTTTAGTTTTCAATGTTTACACTTGAACGTTTTTCCAAAACATTTTCCGCTCAATTCTCTACAAGAACGTTAAACTTGAAATTTTGAAAATTTCAAGTGTAAGCAATTAAAACTAAAAGCAATATTGACGAAATACGGAGACTGCTATTTAACCTAGATGATCCGATAAAATAACCATTATTATTTTCATTTTGTTATTATTTTAGTTATACTCATCATGTAATTTCTACTATCAATGGAAGGTGCTCAGTACTCACTTGTGGTTTTACGTGTTTTTCTCTTATACATTTTCAAAAATAACTTACTTATACTAAAAGAAAGTTTTCTATTATGTTTTCATGTTTTCAAAACTGTGACTGGATTTTTTTCGATTTGAGAGACATTTTGGTCACAAGGGTGGTGAACTTTCATAACCAACTGTGTAACCTCCCTACAACTATCGTCACACTTCATCGCGAAATTTCGTCACAACTCAAAAAGAACATTCGTTATACAAATAACATAGAACTACTTACATCTGGACTACTGAATTTGGACTGTTGCAATGTGAATTACTTCAGACCGAACTGCTCTCAAACGCAGTAGACGCTTGATTTTGATATTTTGACTTTAGAAAAAGACGTCAGAAGGGTTTTTGCGCGTTTCGCTAAGAAAATACAATGTTTGTACAGAAAAAAAGCAAGAAGTTATTACTCCAGTTTGCGCTACTACACTTCCGACTAATGAACTTTGCGCTACAACTTTGATTCATCGCAGCCGTTTGATGCAGCGTGTGACGAAAGCGTCGACCTCTGTAAAAAATCAGACACTTTCCTCACAGCGAAGAACTTTCGTCACATAAAGGGTTTACTTTCGTACCCACCATTCAAACATACTTAAACTTTCGTGGAATGCCGAGAGAATTTTTGTCACTTAAAACAGAACTTCAGCATTACCCGATGACAAAAGTGTATGGTGATGAAAGCGCTGTGAAACAGGGATGCCACAATATCCAAAATAAGAAAACTGATGTTTTTTTTGAAAATCGATGATGCTGTTCTTAAAAAATTCCTTTCTTAACGAAGAAAGAAATTTACATGCTTAAAAGACTCTCGTCAACCCAAATTTTTTGTGGAGTATTGAATGAGCGAATAAAAAAACAATATGGTTTTGGAATACTGCTGGATTTGTAGATCTTTAGCATTTTGTTCGGTCATAACAACTGCCAATATATTGTAGGCATAAGCTCTTATCGTTTTACTATATTCGTTTGTCGTTATATATTTAAAAGTAATGGGTGATAGGTTTTTCTGTTTTATCTCTTCAATTAAATCTTCAGTTAATACTAGCCGATAGAGAAGTTTCATTGCCGATTCGATTACTTTTGTTGATGAATTCTGTTTCACAAGCAAAATGGGTGAATAAAAACTATCGTAATCTTCTTCGTAAGAATCTTCATCCGCTGTATCATCATCCTGTTTAGCAGAGAGTGACGTTGACGCTATTGATGGTAAAGCTAGGATTTTATCCGATATCTGTATTAAAGAATCGATTATAGTTGAATGTTTCATACATCGTTTTCTTATCGTTTTATTCGACCAACATAATAAAACCAAAACATCAATGGCATAATTTAATAATGCTAAATTCTTCTTTTCCCTATTTGCTATTTCCATTTCATTTTGTTTTATGACCTGTTCACATTTGTTCATCATTGTATCGTAGAATGAATTAAATGCTTATAAAATCTTGATATTTGAAAACCTTCATCACTACTATCTTTTTCCATTGGCAAAAATATACACGTACGACATTTACACATAAGTTTTCCTTTAAATGTGCCGTCGGCATTTTCATGTGCCATTAATGTATAATCATCACCGCTTTTTAATGTTGTATTGGTTTTGAATACACCACTTTTCAATTCTATTTCTTTTTGATTCTTCATGATTGTTTTTATTCAATTTACTATTTACACGTGTATTCGTTTGTGTTATTGTTGATAATGGCGAAAGGGTTGATGCAGATGCAAATATATTTATTGTTGATGGTGGAGATGTAAGAAATGAAGGTGTATTTGTAATAGTTTGTGATGTTATATTTGATGAATTTTTTGTTGTTGATGACGATGATGCAATTGTCGATTGTTGCTTTCTATTTGATAATTCTAGTTGTTTTTTCTTTTTGTTCTTTTCTTCTTCATGTGATGCTGCCTTGTCTTCAATAAACTTAATAATTTACTTATTTCTCGTTCAATTCCAACTTTCAATTTATATTGATCATTATCTTTGTAAAAACAGTTTTGCTTAACAAATTCAATTTCGTCATCTTCATATTTTAACAAATCTTTTATTATATCTTCTGTTGTTGTTGTTAATAATGTTGAAACAGCACGAATTTCTTGAACTTTAAATATAATTTTTATATTTTCACCCGAAACTTCTTCAACGAAATTATAGAATCTATCATTCGCATATTTAATTACATCATCAGGAATTTCATCAATACTTGATATAACATAATCTTTGTCAATATTACTGTTTCCAGCCGTTGTTATTGTTGATAATGATGACGCCATTGTTATGTTTAGTATCAACAAAAAAAATACAGTTTATGAATAATATATTGAACAAGACGTGTGCTTAATACTTTTTAAATAAACTCATTCATACCGATTAATTCTATTTATACTTTATTCAAATAGAGTTAGACCAAGGAAGAAAAGTCTCGTAGGAATGTCATGACATTCTACTAGAATCCATTCCGGGATAGGATGGATCACGTTATTCCACGGTCAAAGAAAAATTCTTATAAAAGAAATCTTAACAATAAAAAACACTCTTACCGTCAGTCTTGATCTTCTTTTACGCCCTGGCCAGCCATCTCTGCCACCGGAGTGAAATTCCTTAACGATTTTTTTGCATTTTGTTTTTCTTATAATGTTTGAGTAACGAGACGCCTAGAGATCTAGAATATCACAGATTAAAGAGAAAAGTGTGCTAAAGATTCTGAGATGT